GAGGAGCACTGTGGGCATTATGGGGGTTACACGTCTGTGGATTCAGCCAACTACGGATTGGAAGTATGAAAAAAATATTGCATCTTCACTAAATGCATAGGTTTTTTTCCTGTCCTTATTCCCTCTATCAGCGGTGGCAAACCTGTGGCACATGTGCCACAGGGGGCTGCTTGTTATTGAAAGCTCTGAAAGGTTGACCATCACTGTCCTGTGCTGTACAGAATAACAGCTTTGTACACAGTATTTAGATTGTGTTTGAGATTCTCTATCATCTAGAGATGACTTGAATTGTATTGGGGGACAGGTATAAGTTATGTGCAAATATACCATTTTATATAAAAGACTTGGGCATCTGCAGATTTTTGTGTCTATGGGCGGTCACAAAAGCAATTCCCACAGATGCGGAGGGATAACTGTTTTTATGCGGTGGCCAGGGAGGGCGTTGTTGGGTAGTTGAAATGACACCTGAAGAAAGTGAGGACGAAGTCACATAGCTGACTGGTGGAACTGGGCTTCAGGCAGATGAGTGGGAGTGTGCCTGGCCTGTTCCAGGAGGAGCAGGGGACCATGAAGGGCCTGGGGAGCAGAATGAAGGGGGCAAAACATGAAGTCACCATAGCAGGCTCTGGATGGAATAGGGCTTTGCAGCCTGGTGAGGTGTCCCCATGAGCTCTTACTTTGGGTGGAAGAGGACCTCATCCTCGCCAGAAAGGGGCCTGCCTGGGAGAAGCACCCACGCCAGCGCTGTGCTGCAGCGTGCCCTGGTCTCAGACTCTCCTCTACGCCAGTTTAGGAAGAGGCCTGTGGCATCCTGAGTCCTGAGACCTGGCGCAGGGCTGCCTGGCTGATTGCCCACCAGCGTCTGGCTGCTGAGGGGGATGATACTGCTTCCGAGCAGGGCCTGGCCTGCTGTCTGTCTCTTACTTCTTGCCACAGGCCAACCCCAGCATCAGACTGGGCTTTTCCCTCTGTTGCCTTCTGCACCCTTGTGTCCTAACTCCCTGCTTCTGCTCTTCTCTTGGAGGCTGGGACTGGTTAGGGCTTGCTGTGAGGAGAGGCTGGTACCTTGGATCATGAGGCTGATTGTTTGCCTGGGCACAGACCCATTAACCCCCTACCCACAGCCTGCCCTGATTCAGGTGCTTTGAGGACACCCTGGCCACTTCCTGGGAGTCAGATACATGTGCCCCCATGGGCCACCTGGCTGTCCTACCCACTCAGGCCTACGGCTCCCTCCTTCTGGGTAAGGCCAGCCTGGTGGTCACCCTGTGGGTCCCCGAAGGAGCCTGCCTGGTTAGGATATGGCAACCACCCACAGCTTCAGCTCATGAGACAGTCAGTTCAGGAGGTTCTGCTTTCCTGGCGAGAGAAGCCAGCTGTTCCTGGAGGGCCGGTTCACTCGTATGCTCCCTGGGGAAGCCCTGGAATCTGTCTGAACTGGGTGAAGTCCTCCGCGTGTGGGAATCTATCTCTGTGGGCTGGCAGAGCCCCGGGTTGTTAGAATCAGGACTCATGGCTGCAGTTTACAACTCAAAGCAGCTCCAGGGCTTGCTCCGTCTGGTTTGTGCTGCTGAAGCTAAGTGCCAGAGACTCGGTAACTTAGAAGGAGGAGACACTGCTTTCCCACAGGTCTGCAGGCTGCTCAGAGGCCAAGGTCAGGTTGCCTTCAGGTTGGTGGCTGGTGAGGGCTCTCTCTGCTTCCCAGATGGCGCCCTGCTGCTGTGCGTCCTCTAGGTGAGGAGGAGACCTGGGTCCTCCCAGGTGCAGCAGAGGACCAAGGAGCTGAACGCCGAGAAGGCTCCTCATTTATCACACTGGCCACTCAGCTTTCACACTTGACCTGGGGAGGGCCACATTTACACCGTGACATTCCATACCCGGTCTCCCACAGTTTATGTCCTTCTCACTTGCAGATGCAAGTAGTCCATGCTAATAGCTCCTAAAATCTTAAATTGTTCCTGCCTCAACTTAAAACTCTATAATCCAGAGCTCATCTAAATTAGACGGCTGAGAGACTCAAATCTCAATTTGTCCTGAGGCAAATTTCCCTCTAGCTGTGAGCCTGGTGGGAACCAGAGTGTTGCTGCACGGGGACCCCGCCCTCCCCCACCCACCTGTGTTACCACCCCCAGGCCAGCTGTTTCCCCTCAGGGCTCCTGATCACTGAAGACCTGTTTCATAGCCTCTTGTCCATAGCCTCCAGGCCTTTTGTCCAGTTCAAGAGCACCGGGAAGGATATTGGCTGGCCTTGTGCAGGCCGATGTCCATCCTATAGGAGGGGTGGGGCACTGTGTTGGACTGGCAGCTCCCTCCTGACCAGAGCTGGGGGTTTTCCCAATGTGGGCAAGGGGTGGGCAGGGCTGGGCACGTAACTGCCCCATACCACCCCTGGATCTGGGTTCTCAGGCTCGTGCCTGGGACTTCCTCACAGCTGTCCAGGACAAAGAAACACACTGGTCAGCCCATGGTCATGACAGCTTCAGACAATGACCATGCATCTGCCACGGCAGAACCTGTGTCCAGTGTGTTAACAACTGTACCACAGGCACGACTCTTCCTGTAGGTACAGTTATTTCCAGCTCCCGTCAGAAATGGAGGCTCAGAGACTTAACGTGACTCTGAAAGGCTGACAAACCACTAGCCTAGCAGGTCTGCCTGGGTCTGAAACCTGGACTCTTCCTTCCAAAAATGCTACAACCAGAAAGAAAAGAAGATTCTCCAAAATACAATGCTACAAAAAGAAGATTCTCTGAAATACAATGCGATGGAAATAAAACAAAATGTATAAATATAAGAAAAGGAAAATAAATCAGCCAGATGAAATGAGCTGATGGCTTTCACAGTAAAAGACACCACAACAGGACAAGAACTACAACAGCTAAACAATTAGAAGTGGAGGGCTAAATAGCGTTAGCTGACAGAATAAACAAAACAGGGCGATTAAAAAATATGTAAATCCAGACGAGCAGGTGGGAAGGGCTGGAAGCCACGCGATGGGGGTGAGCTGAGGCAGGGCTCCAGCCTCCTGCCCCTCTCCCCGGGGACACAGTGCTCAGGGAAGGCTCGGCCCGCCAGCCTCCTTGGCTCTGCAGCGGGGCACCCTGACCACCCGAGCTGATGCCCTGGAGGGGCTGTGACTGACCAGCAGGTGAATGGAGGGTCCCCCTCTGGACAACACCTGCCTCCCCAGGCTCCTCACAAGTGTAAGTCAGCCCTTGGCTGTGTCTCCACTATGGCCCCCTGCATGTGCACCAGTCACAGTCCCTTGTCAGACTGTACCTGCTCCCCCTGCAGAAGGAAGCCCTGAAATCGCCCTGTGGAGGAGGATGTGCTGCCCACCAGCAAGGGGGACCCAACATCTTTCCTGGCCTCGGGGGTCTGTCTCGGGTCCAGGAGGCGAGCCTGCTGGAGCCCTGGGGTGTCTGCCCAGCCCACTCAGCCCTGGGTGGAGCTGCAGGCAGTGGCTCCCGAGCTGGGGCCAGAGGAGCCTGGTGTCTGAGAGCGGCATCTTCTGAGGAGCCTGCAAACAAGGGACACGCGTGCTGTTGCTGGGATACCACGGAGCCCCAGGAAGCTCGGCCCAGCTGCTCACTGGCTACGGCATTGATTTTTACCGAGGGCTGTGCTGTCTCTGGCTCTGCGGGACCTGGGGTCTGCGGGGCAGGGACTGGCTGCCAGGGCCCAGAGGGCTCAGCTGTGAAGTGAGCTTCGAAGGGGGAGCCTCTTGGGCTGCCACACTTAAGGCTGTTGTCTGTCACTCGGCACCTTCTGTGCCAGCACCGGCAGGCGTGGTGCATGGGCTGCTGCCCTCACGGAGCCACCCCGAGGCTCCAAACACACATCGGTGCTGGTGCTGAGGAGGCGGGGGGGGGGGACGGGAGGGACGGGACAGTGCAGCCGCGGTGAGTGCCAGTGTCCTTCAGCACACTTCGCCGGTTACTGTAGGTTTCATGCAAAGCGGGGACAGAAGCACAAGGGCCCCACACAGAAACAATACATGTTCAGGAGATGGAAATGCTGACTGTCCCGGTTTGATCATCACACACACTGCATACATGTACTGGACGATCACGCTGTGCCCATGAGCACAGGCAGGTATCGTGTCCGCTGGAAAAATGGGGATGGGAGGTTGGACGGTGACCTCGAACAGCTACCGCCCTCTAGGCCTCTGCTCTCTGTAACAAGGGGGAGACGGAACTAGCTCAGACCTCAGAGGGTTGCTGAGAGCATGAAATGCAGTGAAAGATGAGGCATCCAGAACATTGCAAGAGCTCAGCAAGTGCTAGGGGTGGAGGTGCGTCCCCTGAAACGCGTGTGCTGGAGTCTCAGACCCTCAGGGCCTCCCGATGTGACATGTCTGCAGATGGGGTTCTTAGGGAGGACTAGGGTGGGAGGAGGGTGTCGGGGTGGGCCCTGGTCAGCACGAAGCCGCACACGGAGGGAAGCCCACGGGGCCACAGAGAGAGGACAGCCACCTGCACACCCTGGGCCGGGGCGCGGGAGACACCGGCGCTGCCCACGCGTGGGCTTGGCCTGCCAGGGCTTCCTGCGCAGGGGGAGCTGCGGTCACTGCCCCCACGCCCAGCGCAGCCCAGCGAGCCTACAGCAGCTCTGGGAGTCTGTGGGCTGGGTCCGCAGGCGTGGCGGGCAGGGGAGGCTGTGTTAGACGTCCCGGATGGGACGTGGCCACCACCCCCAGCCTCAGCCCGGCCACTTCCGTTCTCTTCAAAGATGTTTATTCTGTTGTATGATTACACGTTTGCAGTACGGGACTCTATATTCATCCCGGGGAGGAGGTTCGTGTACACAAGGCAGCTTGTTTCCTTTTTAATCCCTTGCCCTTCTCACCCTCCTCCCTCTGTCTCCAAATCCCCTTTCCGATTTTCATTGTTGTTGTTGTTATTATTCTTGGCCCCTATTTATGACACATAATACTGACATTCACTATGGGTATTTGGTACCTGTCCATGGCACATCTTCGTTCTCCTTACTTCCCCTTACGTTCTTTACCTGACAGTGTGTGGAAATCTGTGTCCGTACGCTACACATGTCCTACAAAAGCTCCGTTCCACGTGTGTGAAGCGTGTTCACTACAGCTGGCAACGTTAGAGCGGTCAGTGAGTTTCATCTGCTTTAACTAAGGGAGAGAGAGAGGGAGAGGGAGAGGAGGGGAGGAAGGAGGAGGAAAGAGGGAGGGAGGAGAGGCAGGGCCGTGCTTGGGGCGGCCACCTTCCTGCTCGGCCAGCTTGGGCAGGTGCAGAGCAGTGGGCTCCCCCTCCCTCTCTCCCCCTCCCTCTCCCTCCCTCTCCCTCCCTCTCTCCCTCTCTCTCTCCCTCTCTCCCTCTCTCTCTCCCTCCCTCTCCCTCTCCCTCCCCCTCCCTCTCCCTCCCCCTCCCTCCCTCCGTCAATCCCTCCGCCCCTCTCTCTCTGGGACTCCCACTCGCTGTCACACAGGGCCCTTGCGCACACGGGAAGATTTTTCTTGCCCAGGGGGGCATGCAGAGTGCTAATTTTAGTTTTAGTAGGTTTTTCTTTTCAATGATGTCCTGAAACTCTGGGGAGGCCCCGGGGACTGCGCGTCACACCTGAGATGAGGGCAGCCTGTGTCCCTGCAGGGAGGCACTGAGGGGCCACAGCAATGGGCACTGCAAGCCCTTCCCGCTTCTTCATACGACAGGAGGAGCAGAGACATGGGGTGGGTGCTCAGGTACTGGGGACCGGGAGGGAGAAGGGCTGCTGAGTCAAAGCCTGCTGCCCAATCCCCACGTCAAGTCTGCAGCCAGGGCCTGGGGAGGCCCGCCTGCTCCCCCTCTGCCGAGACACCCAGTTGGCAGCGGTCACACTGGATGGCCAGCCCAGAGGATGCAGCAGGCGATTTTCTCTCCCCGACTTCCGTGTACCAATCCTGGATCCCTAAGATGATGAGCAGCGACCCCAAACCTGACTTTGACTGGGGGCCAGGTTCTCCTTGGGCTCTGCCCACTCGGGGTCCCTCAGGGGGTGCCTGCCCGCCAGGGAAGGCTGAGACTCCCATTGCCGGCCGCATCTCCACAACACGTGCCCCTCAGGGGCGCTGAAAAGGGCCCATTTCTGGAGCGGGGTGGTGCCGGCCTGAGGAGGGACCTGGAGGCTGCTAGTCCTTCCTTTGCACAGGGCTGGCTGGGCCCTGAGGCTCTTTGCTCCTCTTGAATGGGTGGGAACAGGCTGGAAGTTGAGATGGAAGAGACAGCCCTGTGAGGTACAGAGAGGCTGCGGGGTCTCTCAGGATTAGGGACCTGCAGAGGGCTATGAGCTGGGGCCTGCAGGAGGGAGGCACGGAGCAAGGTGGGGCCCGAGCCCAGGGGTGGGGATCAGAGTAGGAGTTCAGAGTTGGGTCAGAACCTGGGCTCGCCCTGAGGGCAGCAGCAGTCAGGGAGGGGAGGGAGCAGGGTGGGTACAGTCTGCAGGCTCCTGGTGACCTGGAATCAGAGGCGGGGAGTGCTCGGAGCTGCTAGAGCCTGGCTGGGCCTTGGGGCCAGGGAGGACCCAGCAGGGCCAGATGCCGGCCAGGTTGTGTGGGATTTGGAGAGCAGGTCCCAGCTATGATACGACAGCAACAACATGCAGGAGCTGGGTGCCACCCTGCATTCTTGGACAGCCCTCCTGCTGGGCTGGGACCTGTGTTTTCTACCCAGAGGGGCTGTGCCCACACGTGGCTCCTTCTCCATTCCATCAATTCCCCACCCCAGCTGGCCAGCTGGCGGCAGTCAGCACCTCTTTCTCTTCACAGCCTGCCTGGTGCCCCCGAGGGTTGTGTGTCCGGAGAATGAAGTAACCCTGAAGTTGCTTCGAGTCAGGATGTGGCCCTGGGTGGGCCCTCTTCAGCTTCTCAGGGAAAGAGGAGAAGATCTCCCTGTGAGACCTTCCGGATCAGGCCATGAGGGCTGCTGTGAGAAGATGCCATAGGCCGAGTGACACTATTGTCGGACTGTTCCGAAGGCTGGAGCCTTAGATGGAGGTGTTGGAGGGCTGGTTTCTTCTGAGCCCTCTGCGTCGTGTCCGGCTTTCCACGGGCTGCCTTCTCCCCAGTCTCCACACGGCCCCTGGGAGGTGCGGTCTGTGTGCTGCTCTGTCCTCATGGGGACGCCGGTCCTTTTGATTCAGGGCCTGCTGTATGACGTCATTTCATTGCCATTACTTCTTGAAAGGCCCTGCCTCCAAATAAGTCACCTTCTGGGGGCTCAGGATCCCCAGTATAAATTTGGGCCACAACGCCCCCTAATAGCTAAATATTGAGCTTCTTTTTAAAAATTCCAAGCCTCTGTAGGGAGCAAACCCAGCCGTCCCTGATGGGACTGTGTGTGGGGACAGCCACCACTGCTGGCTTCAGATCTGACTGCAGCCTCTCCACCTCCTGAGCTCCAGGCTCGACCAGGAACAGGGTTTGCAGTCGGGTCTGCTGGCTGTGCTGCTCTAGGGACCCTCGAGGTGCTGGACACTGGGCAGGAGGGTGAGATGGCGTCTGCAGAGGGGATGCAGGTGTCCCCTCCCATAGCAGACCTGAGCTGAGGTCAGGAAGGGCTGAGCGGAAGTGACGTAGATGATGTGTCATGGTCCATGCACAAAGACCCCCACAGGCCTGCGAGGAACCCCAGTGATGGACACTCAGGGTGTGACCTTGTGCCAGGTTCATGCGGGCACGGGGTGGGGCGGGGTTTGGTGTGGGCACTGAGCAGTGCCATCCGCAGTGGGATTTTCAGGGAGCGGCTGAAGGGCAGTGCATCTGTCTGAGGGCTCCTGTGGGCTTCCCCTCCACACCGCTCTGCGCCTCCTGACGCTGTGAGTCCCACTTGCGGGAAGTGAGGCTGGAACAGATGTCGTCTGGCTCCTATGTGCCATGAGCGGTGTCTGGGAGTGGAGGTGGGCAGCAGGACCAGCCGGTGATAGTGTTGCCTGTCACTGTGTGTCCTCTGTGCCTATCCTCGGCTTCTGGGCTGTGCTGAGTCTTGGGCCAGGTCAGGTTCAGGCTGGGCCTCGATGCCAGGTCAGGAGACAAAAGGCCTGAGGCTATGCCGGGAGGTTGTGCGGCCTGGCCAGGAGGCCTGCTCAGACCTCGGACCACTCGGAGCCAGGTGTACCCACTCCCCGCCCACCCACCCATCGTGTGGACCCTGCGTGGCTAGGACAAGGCCATGAGGCACCCTTGGGGACTCTGAAGATGTGACCAGTCAGTCATCGGCACAGTCAGTCCTGATGGCGGGGGAGGAGGAGCCTGTCCCTTCCTGCAAGGCAGCAGGGCTGGCTGGAGTGTGGGCATCCTGGGGCCCGAGGCCGACTCTGGGCACGAGTGTGAGTTCTAGGCCCCCACGCCCGGAGGGTGACACTGACGCCTGAGGCCCACTGGCAGCACACTTCTGACTGTCTTGTGCTACAGAATGGGGCCCGCAGCCCGAGTCTGGGCTGAGTCCTGGACAAAGGACCGCAGGTCCCTGTGGGTCCTGGCTGTTGGCCCGGTGGGAGATGCATTAACCTTTTCACTAAGGATCTGAATGGCCAGGATGAGAACGTCTCCATTGGAGCTCAAATTAGCGCAGAGGCCATTCTAGCATCTCATTTGAGGAGAAATGCCAAGGGCTGGCGAGGCTGGCAGGGCACCGGGGATCGGGGCTGGAGGACTGAGCTCCTCTCCGGGAGGACCTGGTGCCCAGGCCTTGCCCGGGGCCCTGGGAGAGCAGCGTGGTCCTGGCATGGCTGCCTCATCTGGTCTGCCATCCTGGTCTGCCTCCTCGCCAGCCTGGCCTTCAGTACCTACAGTCTTAGTTTGTCTTCTGCTGCTATAGCAGAATGCCACAGACTGGCTAACTTATAAAAATAGAAGGTTTACTTAGCGCCCAGTGCTGGTGTTGGCATCTGGAGAGGCCTCCTTGCTGCACCATGACATGGTGGAGGACTTCCCGTGGCCGGGCCAGCCCTTCATCATTTTTACTTTTTGTTTTGAGACAGGGTTTCTCTAGGTCACTTAGTTGCCCAGGCTGTAGGCTGGGCTCAGACTTGTGGTCCTCCTGCCTCAGCCTGCCAGTGTGCTGGGGTCACAGCATGTGCACCACACCTTCTCATCTGCCTTTCATGAAGTTACGAGCACCGTCCTGGGGCCCGCACTCCCGGACCCTCATCTAATCGAACCGCCTCCCAGAGTCATTAATAATAATGACCTTGGGGAGTACGTTTCCAATGCAGAACCTTGGGGGCACAAACCATAGCGTCTCCCTGGTCCCTCGTGGTCGGTCACTCTGCACCCCAACACCTCCTCTTTTCAGGACCGTTCGGTGTCCAGTCCAGAATCTGTCAGGGTTCAATCTCGGTCACAGCCTGTCTGGGACATCTGTGGGCAGGGGTCGCCGTTCGCAGATTTCTCGGCCCCTGTTTCCCAGCCCCCAGCTCTGTGCGCCTTGCTGTGTGCACGGGGGCTCCCAGTGGATGCTCCCTGTGAGCGTCCTCTGACTGGGAGGCCCGCCTCTGGGGCAGGACCCCGTGGAAAGGCCCCTGGCTGGAGTCCCCGCTCAGCCTCCCAGCTGGTCCTCGGGACGCTGGCCCGTGCCCTGGACCTCCTGGGAGGAAGTCACAGTTCCCCTCACCCCGCCCCTAACCCCCTAGGGTGTCCTGGCTGCCATGACCGTGACCCCCCTCTTCCGGCTGGTCAGGAGGAAGAGCACACGGCACCTTTTCCTTGGGTGGAAAGGTGACAGAGGGAGGGGAAGAGGAAGGACACCTCTCAGAACCCTGTCATGGCCCCTGGGGAGAACAAGGGACCATGCCGGGGCCACCAGAAGGGCAGGGCGTGGAAGGCTGGGCGGTGGCGAGCACCCCAGCCCCAGGGCTCAGTGCTCTCCAGCCCTCTCTGCAAGGCCCATCCCACCCTCTCCATGGGAGAGGGCCACGGTCCACCGAGCGGTCCGGGAAGCCCCCCTGAACACCCGCCTCTGTCCCAGGACCCTCCTGGGCCCCACCCCGCACTCAGTTGGATAGACTCTCACGTGGCTCCTTTTGCTCGTTGCCTGTGCCTGGCCGAGTCCCTCGAGCCCTGGTGTATATCGATGTCTGGAAGTGCCCGTCCACTCTCTTCTAGCAGTTTCGTAGTTCCAGGTCTCACCTTCAGGTCTTTGATTCCTTTTGGGTTGGCTTTTTTATATTTTGAGAGATGAGGGTCTAATTCCATTCTTGTGCATGTGAATGTCCACTTCTCGGCCCCATTTAAGGAGAGGCTGTCCTTTCTTCAGTATGTGTTCTTGGCACCTTTGACACACACACGCACACTTCTCCAAGGAATGTTTTAGGACAAGACTGCTGATTCATGCTTTACTGGATCACTCAGGATATTCTAGAGCTAACAGGACTGAGGAGATGAACTGGGTCAGCTCCCTGAAGTACAGTTAGGGAAACTGAGGCCCACAGGAGAAGGGCATGATGTCTAAGGTCATGGTCAGTTGGTGACAGAGCTGAGGTTCAAATGAAAGTCTTGAATGTGAGTCTTTAGCAAGTTTAAGAGGAGGGTCCAGTCCACACCTGCTGTCCAGCCCTCAGCCTCTGGCACTGCTCTATCCTGGGCCCCTAATTGGCCTTGGGGAGCCGTCTCCGACCTGATCTTCATCAGGTGCCCTGTGTGCACATGTGGCCACTGCCCACCTCCTCCTGTGGTCAGGAGGTGCAAATGAAAACAGCCAGGTGCTGTGCTCACATATCAGCTGAGCAGACACCCAGACTGGATGTCCAGTGACATTCTGAGCTGGCAGGGATATGGGCACGGGGCCTCTCTTGCACACTGTGGATGGGATGGGCGGTCACTGCACACTTGTGGAAGACAATCCAGTCAGTGTCTCTCTGACCTAGTATATTAGCACTGATGTAGCTACCCCACTGTGGGGGTGTTAATTCTACAGATATAAAAGTGCTGGCATACAAGAAAGCAAGGATGTTAAATTGCAGGGTTGCTACACACATACACACACACATGTGCGTGCATGTGCGCACATAAACAATCCAAAAATGTCAATAAATACAAGAATGTTTGAGCCCAGCTGCTCTGGGCTTTTCAGCAGCTGTAATGAGGCGGCAGTGTGGAGCGCTCTAGCTGCTGTCCTGGAGGGTGACCATGGTATGTTAGGAAGTACTCTCACTGTTGGCTGCCGGTTTACATGGTGTGATCCCATTTCTGACAAACGAGCCCTCGAAGATCTTCATGTGTCCATGAGGGTAGGCTATGCCCGGGCCTACTGTCACCAGCAGAAAAGGTGGGTACAGGGAGGGGCAAGCCGCGCAGGCTTCGTGAGAGGGACAGGCAGCCCCTGGCTGGGTTCTAATCCTGGATTCTGAGAGGCAGAACCGCTCCTGGGGCCGGGTCCAGGCCACGGTGGGCCCAAGGCTCTGCCCACCCTTAACCCTGGTGGCCCTGGGCAGGGCCGAGCTGGCTGACGGTGGTGTGTGCGTGCGGCCACAGAGCATTCTATCCTGACCTTCAGCTCTCGCTACAGGGATCTAGGTGGCCCCATTCCATCCGACCTGGGAACTGGTATTTCTTGGGATTTTCATGCTGCTATATTTTGGGTCTGGCTTGTGCCCCCCAGTTTCATGTGCTGGAAACGTGGAGGTCAGTGGCACAGTCCTGAGCGGTGGGGGCGAGCAGGCTGTGGGGCCCACAGTTGCACGGGTTGATGCCTGCCTGGGGAGACGAGTTGGACCTCAGCTCGGCCCTCCCAGGACAGGTTGTTACGGAGCAGCAGGTTAGCTCCTTGGCCCTCCTCTCCCTTCCGCACATGCCCGCTCTCCTGCATCACCGCCGTACTGTGATACAACCAGACCACTCCTCCTAGATGCAGTCACCTTGCATGTGGACTTTCCAGACACAGAATTGTGAGGGGCATGAGCCCGTTCTTCACGAATCACCCAGGTCAGGTGTTGTGTGAGTGACACAGCTGGACCAGGGCACGCGACGTGCTCACTCAGACCCAGCGGAAATGCGCCATCAACTGCTTTTGTCATTGGACGGACTAAATTGCCCCTTCCCCTGTATGCTCGAGCCCTAATCCCCGGGCTGCTGTCTGTGGGGAACTTTCAGGAGGCAGCTAAGGGCAAATAAGGTCTCAGGTGGAGCTGTGATCTGACGGAACTGATGTTCTTCTAGAAGAACAGTCGGGCATTTCGGTGTCCCTGTGCACACACAGAGGGAAGCTACTGAGAGACACAGCGGGAGGGGTCTGCAAACCAGAAATGACCGTGCCTCAGACCCCCAGAACCGTGCAAAAATGAGCTCCTGCTAAGTCGCCCATCTGCGGGCTTCTGGCGGGCAGGCTCTACAGAACCAGGACAGACCGAGCCAGAAGTCAGAAATAACCTCTTCTTGAGTCAGTGGACACGCTCTTTGTTGGAACCCTTGGAGGAGCTCAGGAGACACGACTGTCTTGTGGCTGTTCCTATTTCTCCCCTGTGGGTTATGGAACGGGGGCAAAGCTGACTCAGCCCCCCAGTCTGAGCACTAAGGCCTGGCCCCTCGGTGAATTCTTGGCCATGGAATAGGGCACCTGACCCTGTCTGGACCTACCAGTTATCTGGGACTCAGTGTGGCCATTCAGGGGAAGCAGTCTGCTTTTCCTCAGGGCTTAAAGATGTGAGACCATGAAGCCAGCCAGCGCTCTGGCAGCCCTCTTGGCACCATGAAGCTACTTTTTATTTGAGAAGGCAGTAGCTCACCAGAAGAGGGACAGACAGTCGAAAGGAAAGAACTTGGGTCCTGGGAATGGCATTTCAGGTGTCCGAGGCCCAACTATGCCTGGATTTTTAATTGTATGGAAAAAATAGGTTCCTTTTTTGCCCAAGTCAACCCAAGTCAGTTTCTGTTCCTTGTCATAGAACCTGACTGATCTTTCAGTCCTTGTCAATTTCTGAGTTGTCACATGTCCAGGGGGCAGAGCCTGCTAGAGGGCTCCTGGCCGAGGGGCGAAGCCCCTTGGTGCTCCGGGGGCTCCCTGCCTCCCAGCAGGCGCAGACTCCAGGCGGGCGCTTCAGTGTCTCCTTCAAGGAGGCCAGCCGGGCATGGAGTCTCTGTGGCCCAGCTTTAATTTAATTGACAATTTAAAAAATCAAAACCAGTGTCTGGGGCATTTAGAATGTCTTCCTTCCCGGTTTAATTTCACGGGGATTGTGTTACAGCTTTTGATAAAATGTTTCATTTTAAAGAACTTGGTTTCATGAAAGCAGAGCTTTCCTGTCCCTGGGACAGCTCCTCCTGTAAAAGCCATTTTCATTAGGGAAAAGCAGCGCTTAGCCGGGCTTAATTGTAGGTTCAGAGCCAGGAGCTGCAAGCTCGGCCTGGGGCCAGGCCTGAGTCCTCCACTCGCCCTGCTGTGCGGGCCTCTCCCGTGCCCTGCCCCGGGCCTGGCTGACTTGGCTTCCTTCTTCCGGGCGTGACTGGCCAGGGACGGTGGGATGCATGGAGGTGTACATGGTACCTTGCTCGGAAAAGCGTCTTTGAAGATGCGATCGCGCTGATGTTTGTGAGAGGAGCTCACATCGCCCTGGGTTCGCTGGGTGGCCCCGAAGGGCAGGCAGCACGGGGTCCTGGGAGCCGGCCCCCCCCCCCCCGCCCCGCTCTGGCCAGCGCCGGGCGCATGCGCACACGCGGGAGGAGGCCGCTTGACGGGGGGGCTGTCCCGACTCGCAGGGGGTGGCCGCGCTCCGCCAGTGCCGCTCACCTGGACGTCGTCTCCAGGACGCGGAGAGAACAGAGCCCTGTCGCTGCCAGCACCCCACTTGGCGGTGAGCTGTGACGGAAGCCACAGGACTGGCGTGGGAAGGCGCTCCGGGCGCTGAGGAGCCAGCCTGCGGTCCGCGAGGCCCGGTGGGCGAGGACCAGCGCGCTGCCCGCTCCGGCGCTGGCCCCGTCTCCCTCACCAGCCCCCATCTCCTCTCTCCACGAACAAGGAGATGCCGGGGTCGCAGGGAGACCTTGCCTTCTCCCGCAGCATTTGGAATCTCCGTTTGTGCCAACAGCTCACACTTCCACCCTGGGAAACGTGGCCGGCCGTGCAAACGCAGTGTGACGGGAGCTGGGTCGCATTTCCGTTTCCGGCGCCCCTTGCCGGCATCGGAGCCCCTCCAGAGGGTGAGTGACCTTCCCTAGCCACTCAGGCGGGGCTCCACTCTGGCTCCAGTGGCCAGTGGAATATAGGTGGAAATGCCTTTTTGGTGGTACTGGGGCCGGAAACTGGGGTGCTCTGCCACTGACTACATCCCCAGCTTTTTATATTTGTTTATCTTGAGATAGTCTCAAAAGTTGCCCCACCTGGCCTCAAACTTGCAATCTTCCTGCCTCAGTCTCCCAACTGGCAGAGATTACAGCTGTGTGCCACCACCATGCTTGGTAGGTTGCCAGTTCTGAGCTTAGGATGTTGAGCTTCGTCTTTGTGCTCCTTCTTTAGAGACGGCTGACCTCCTCTGCGAGTGAGCGTCCCCTGCACCCCTTCAGTGCAAGCCCTGGGAAGGTTGCACAGAAGTGGAGCCGTGAGCTGAGAATACATTGTTGCCTTGGAAGCTGCCAGGTTTGGGGCTGGTTTATTATGCAGTGTTATTATGGTACTGGTGAACTGCAAGGGAAACTGGTACCTAGAACAGAAACCTACAATCTGTGGCATTGGCTTTGGAACCAGAAACAGTTATAGGCAGCTGGAGAAATGGTGGCCTGCGCTATGGAGGGGAGGGACGTTTGCCAAACCTGTCACTTGCAATGACTGGGAGGTTAGGAAGAATGCCGAGTGCCCTGGTGGTGTGGGCCGGGTGTGTCCAGGTGGAGACCAGGCGGAGCCTGAAGGTGTGAACTGGCTCCTGCTGCCTGCACTGACGTGACCCGTGAGAGATGATGGCCCGGGAACAGACTGGCCGCTGCTCAAAAAGAATCAGAAAGGAAGCTGTGAGCCTGGCTGGGCTGGAAAAGAAAACTTTAATCTTCAGTCTCCCCATCCGGTAAAAGGTTCTCAACCTGAGATGCAGCCTGTGAGAAAAGTCAAATCAAAGACTTGGCTCTTCAGCCCCAGTGAAGACTGAAAGAATGTGGGCTGGAGATTTAGCTCAGTGGTGCTGCTGCCTGCCTCGCAAACTCAAGGTCCTGAGTTCGATCCCCGGTACCAAAAAAAAAAAAAAAAATGAGGGGTGCCTTGTAGCGACTTGCGGGATCGGTGGGAATGGCGCTCCAGCAGCCGGTGTCTGTGTCCGAGTGTCGAGAGAGTCCTGTCTAGAGGCCAACTGTGACCACAGCTTTTGGCACACAGGATCAGACAGTGGGACACCTGCACTGTTTGAGAGAGCTCTATGCACAGAACTCCACCTGCGTGGACTAAAAGAGCAAAGACTATCCAGGATAGATGGAAGTGTCTAAGCTACCAGTGTTCATAGGCCAGGCAAAGGCTGCCGATGGAGGGCAAGTTTCCAGTGTCCTTGTCAGAACCAGCCAAGGACAATGAAGGATCTTCTAGACGGCAGAGTCAAGAGCAGCGACAATCACCACTCCAGGCTCCAGGCAGTGAACAGGGCCTTGGCCAGAATGCTTGCTGCTCAGAGGGTAGTGGTACCTGCCAGCCCTGCTCCAGCGGGATTCAGGAACTGTTACAGACCAGACGCTGTGGCTCTGACCCTTCCCCTTGGGATGGGAGTGTTCGTGGGTTATCCTGAGCTTGCTCGCCCATGATATGCGGGTGTGCTGTGAGGGGAGAGGTAGGAGGTGCAGATAACCTGTCCGTCTGTCCACAGGTCTCTGGGTCAAGAAGGGCCACATCCAGATCTGACTTAGAATGTGATATTCTGGACTTCAGGCTTGGTGCTGGGACTGGGCGATGCTGGGTGTTGGGGTGGGAGTGAGCATATGTTGCAAGCAGGAGCACCCAGTCTGTTTTGTACTGCTGGAACAGCTGTGCGAGTAATTCACAAAGCTCAGCTCGCAGGTCTGGAGGCTGGGAAGTCAGAGGTGAAGGCACTGGCATCTGATGTGGGCTTTTTTGCTGTATCCCCACACAGGAGAAGAGCAGAAGACAGAACCCACCCTGCCAGCCCTTTACAGTAGCATCGATCTATGCAGGAGGTGGAGTGCGCGTGATTCGAACACCTCCCCAAGGCCCCACCTCTCAGTGCTGCTGTTTGGGATTAAGTTTCCAACATAGGAGATGGCGGTGAGGGGCACAGTCAAAATAGCCAGGAGGCTATGAGTGACTGTCCAAGGGCACATCTGCATTACCGTTCCTTATCCCTTACCCATCCTATATTGGTTTTCCAGAGCTGCCATAATAAATTATCACAAACTCGAATGACTTCAAACAACAGAAATTTATCATCTCACAGTTCTAGAGGGCAGAAGTCAGAAAGCAAGGTATCAGCAGGGCTGGTTTCCTCTGCAATCTGTGAGAGACAATCTATTCCATGCCCCTCTCCTCACTTCTGGGAGTTGCTGGCTCTGTTAGTCAGCTTAGGCTGCCCTAATAGTGCCATAGGTCAATGGCTCACACATCGGAAATGTTTCTCTCAGTTCCGGGCTGGGAAGTCTGAGATCAAGATGCCAGGCAACTCAGGTCCTGGGGAGGGCTGGGTGCCCCGCTTGTAAAAGGCCGTGCTGCTGCTGTGTCTGCAGTGGAGAGGGAGTGGGTAGGGAGGAGAGAGAACGCTGAGAGGGAATCTGTCTCTTCTTATGGCTACCAATCCTGCTAGCACCCATCCTTGATGGCCTCATTTTACCTTAATCATCCCCTATGGGGAACGGGAAAGGGGACGTTACCAGAACCCCTGCAGTGAGCCCTGGTCTCCTGTGAGCCATGACAGCACAAGACTAATTAGAGAATAAAGACAGGAAACAAGACTTAGAGAAAAGGCTGGGTGTTGTGCCTGATCGGTGCTGCTCTGCGCAGCAAAGACAAAGGCATCCTGAGCTTGCCACTATTTATTGGGTTCATAGGGAGTATCAGATGACTCAGAGGGCAGTGATAATCCCAAATTGAGGAGGTTTTTATAATTGGAGGAAGCATGAGATGTCTTGGAGGGTGGCGGTAATCCTATGACCGTGAGGATCTTGTGCTGATGCGGATCTTAGGTTGATGAGGATGGTGAGATGAGCAAAACGTTCTTACCACAGTAGGTGGGATGAGTAAGCTGATGAGGAATCTGTCCCTCCCAGGTGAGAGCTTTTTACTCGGTCCTCAAAGAACCAGGATGTCTTCAGCTGATGTAATCTTGCCCTTGAGTGTCACAGCATCATGGGACCGTTGAGGCCTCAGCTGTGACTGGAGGCAAAATGGAGTTATGTTTCTGCATGCCGTAGCCGGCCTGTAGGCAGGAAGACTAGACCTAATCTTTTTTTTTTTTCCCTTAAATTCTTTGCCTAATTTTAATTTAATTGTGAAATGATTTTTTTCCTCAAAATTATGTAGAATGGCTCCCGACAACCCCTAAAGGTCCTGTCTCAGTGCACAGCCACACCGGGGTCAGTTCCAACCTAGGGTATTTTTGTGTGTGTCAGGAGCACAGCTCATTCGGGCCATGGCTTGGCCCCTGGACCAGCACTTCTGCCTGTGGACACATCCCTCTGGCTCAGCTCTGCCGTCGCTCAGCATCCTCCCTGTGTGTCTGGTCTCCATGCCTCCTGTAAGGTCACTGATCATACTGTAGTGAGTCATCCTGATCCATCGTGACCTCAATTTATACCTGTCAGGACCCAGTTTCCACGTGAGGTCCCTTTCTAAGGTTCATGGTGGACCCACGTTTTTTTCCTCACCCTGAATGTATATTTTCATTATAAAACAAGCATATGATCAAAACACTTAAAAATAATGGACTCACGTTTTGGGGGATGCTATCCAATCCAGGCCGCATTCCTGTATGTATAGCCATTGTCACATGACCATGCAAGTCTCTCCCTCCTCACCCCGTTCTCTCGGGGCTGGGCAGTGCATCTGTCCAGGTGGAAGTGACAGCTTTGAGCTGGGGCCTTGAGACGCATCCTGTCTGTTGCTCAGCTTCCTAGACGCTCCTGGACAGTTCCGTGTGGTGAGCTTGCCCTGGGAGCTGCTGTTCCAGCACTCTGGGCCCAATACAAGCTGACCCGGAGCGGAGCTGCCCGCGCTGCTCTGACACATCCACTGTGGGGAACGTGGCCTTGGTCAGCCTGCAGAGCTGGGACTCCAGGGTGGCTGTGTCCTAACCACCAGGTCCTAGGGTGGTATGTGTGGCAGTAGCCAACCAATCCTGGTGTGGAAGGGGCAGAAACAGATGGACACTCTCTTCTAAGCCTCCGCTTCAGCTGCTACATGGGTTGCAACCCAGTGTTCCCCAAATACTTCATTTTATCAAAAGGAACCAAAAGCGTAGATTTTCTAATCTGAAGTCTCCCAATTTTTAATTCCAATTAGAAAAAAATACAGTGCTGTCCAAACACACCTGTGAGGACGATGCTGCCTGCAAGCTCGTGACGTGTGGACCCGACAAGCCCAGAGCCCTTGGCTTGGGTTTGTCCCTGGCACAGGCACCATCCGGGCTGATTCCAGCTCCAGGAGAAGGGAGTCTTCCATGTGGCACGCATCCCTGACAGGGCCAATAGATGGGACAGAGATTCCTACCAGAGGGAAGGTACAGCTTGTTTCCACGTGGTCCCAACAAGGAGACGTAGGGAGCTGTCCTCTTGAGGGCTGCTGGCCTGTGATGGGGCATCTCGGGTGACATTGCTAAGAAACACTGGCATTCAAGAATCTCTCTTCTCGTGTCAATTAAAAAAACACAAAGGTAAAAATAGATTCAGATCAAAGAAGGAGAAGAAGAAGAAAAAGAAGGGGAAGGAGAACAGAGGAGGAAGAAGAAATATCTGGCAAGATTTGGCTCACAGAATTCCGGTAAGGAAAATGATGGAGTTTTAAGAGTGTCTTAAAAGAGGAAAAGCAAGCACAGCCAAGCTGAAGTCGGTTTTACTGGACGGGTGTCTCGCTTTGGATTTATATCTGCTCCAAGTTCATTTTCTCTCCCAGACATCTAGAGGTGGCATTCAAAATGCTTACACTTGTTTCTTCTGCCTTTTTGCCAAGTCTTGTCCCTGCCTCCTTTCCTTTACTTCACACTTGCCGTATCCGTGCACACATATGCTCATCTTTATATTTACATATAGATGTGATTTTATATACGGCTTGTGAAGTCTGCCAGACGAAGAAGTGAAATAGTCCCGAAAACAGCTGGAAAATTATGCAACAGTGGGGAGGTTGGGCACATGTACATTCTGTACCGCAAAGTTGCACAACAGACCAAGTTTGTTATAAGTGAGGCTGGGAGGTTTTTATTTTTTCTCTAGGACAACAGCTTGCTTGGTGGAGCCAGCCTGCTGCAGAAGGCGTCTTCTCGGGAGCCTTAGATTCCCCAGGCAGAGGAGAAGGGAGCTGGCGCTGTGGTGGGAGCTGCCGAGCCTGCAGGCCGGGTGCTGTGGAGGGGACGCTGTGACACCCAGGGCCGGCGAGGTGGGGGGGCCGAGGCTGGGGCTCCCTAACCCAAGGCTGAGACCTGTGACCCAGGACCGGGCCCAGGCCCCAGGCGGGAACGAGGTGGAATCCGAGGCGCGGCGCGGTCTAGCGGGAGGGAGCCTCTCTCTGGCAGGACTCTGTTTCCTGCGCCTGTGTCAGGTGGACAGAATCTTCCGAACGCTTCTGATGAGCAGCCTGCCCCTCACCCCATCTCCCCACCCTCCCGGGGCCCGGTCTGTCCCCCAGACAGTGAGGCCTTGTAGGGCCACCCACTCCTGTACCTCCGGAGGACTCAGGAGGAAGGGGCTTGAGTATTCAGAGCAGGCGGGGTCAGCCCTGGAGTTCATGTCCCTGGGACCTTGTCCTGCTCGACTGTGCACGGTGTCGTCGCACAGATGAAGTAAGTGATAGAAAACCAACAACACCTGCAACGGGCTTCAAAATCTCCACTGCCCATGTCCAATTTAGGGGTGGGGCGGCTTCACTACATGTGCACAAAACGGCCCGCTGGTCTGTCTTCCCCCGAGGTACAGTCACAGTGTGCTGATGAGGCGGATGTGCCTGCTCCAACACTGGATACGATGGGAGCGTTGGCGGTGACTTTGCATTTGAGGTCTGGCTGAGATGGAATAAAGGGTAGCCGTGCATGGGGCAGGGGCTCCCCACCTGAGAGTCTGCAGAGCAGGTCAGGGTGGAGAGTTTGGAGGAGGACGGACCTTGGCACAGACTCAGGGGCAGGGCTCCTCTGGGAGGCAGCTGCCCATCCCTAGGCACAGGGTTCACGGCATGGGACAGGGAGCTGCCTAGTAATGGCGCAAAACACTGTGACCCTGCACTGTGGGGGCCTCAGCTGCGCCAGCAGGCAGTGGACACCCCCAGTTGAGCCTGCAGCTCCTGCCCGCGGCCATTGCAGGTGGGCGGGGAGGACGTGGAAGGGCTTTGCAGGCCAGCTGACGAGGCCAGAGCTGCTCTGCTGGCAGTGTGGACCCTGCCGAGGGTTGCTAAGGAGTCCCGGGGCTGCCGTGGCCCTTCAGAACGGAGATGGGAAATCGCCATGGGGGAACAGCAGCTGCCTGAAAGTCATTCGATTTCCTCTTTCTCATTTTCAGAAATGCAATTAGGGAGGCTGGAGCACTGTGTGGGATGTGGAGCGAGTGTCTGCATGTCTGCGTCTGCCGGTATTCGTGGGCTACAGGGTGACCAGTGTCTGCATGCCTGTCTGTGCACATGTGTCGCACACGTGTGTGTGCAGTGTGTGTGTGTGGTATATGCACGTGCAAATGATGGCTCTTGGCTCTGCTCTCCTGGGGAAGTTGCCTGACAAGTGCCTGAGTTGGCTGTGTTTTCCATTCATATCGACTTATTAGCAAGGCCCCTGAACGGAGCGGGGTTGTCCTGCGGTACCGGGCTCTCCCACCCTGCTTCCCCATTCGCCGCCCCCGGCAGTCTGCACTTCTGGATCCACCTGTGGAGGGCCCTGGGCTGGGCGCCTTCCCAGCCACTGCCCATATTGCAGGCTGTGGGCAGGGCCTCTCGCTGGGTGGCAGGGGACCATGGTGCTATGTGAGGACCCTGACAGGGAGCACTTCAGAGAGTTCCAGCAACCCGAGGCCACAGGGCAGTAGGGTAGCAGAGAATCCCAGGGGTGGGCAGCAAAGCAGGCTGGGCTGGAAAGCCACCCCTGGGCTGTCCCAGGCCACCTAGGGGCCACCTGAGGGGTGAGACCCCCAGCCCAGCATCCCTGAGAAGCAGGCCCGGGGGGCTGTGCAGTGGGCACCCGAGGCCATG